TGTATGTATGTAATGTATGTATGTATGTATGTATGTATGTATGTATGTATGTATGTATGTATGTATGTATGTATGTATGTATGTATGTATGTATGTATGTATGTATGTATGTATGTATGTATGTATGTATGTATGTATGTATGTATATTGTTTCAGCGCATGGTGTCCACGCGTCACGCGTGAGATACTATAAAAACCCACGGTGGATCTACCGTGGGATATTATAGTATCTCATGCTGCATGCATGCATTGCGAAATCATGAATTTGAGTGAAATACCGTAAAAACTCACATTTTCACGTGGTACAAATGCTGTTTTCTTATTGGAGAATTTGAATTGAGGTATAATATATTTGACGGTATTTCACTCAAATTCATGATTTCGCAATGTATCTCACGTTCACACGTGACGAGTGGACACCACGCGCTGAAACAATATGGCGTTCGTGAGCTGTTGTTTGTAATTTCGTACAAAAGATTTATTGATTTAACAAAAGATTATCAAGACATATGTTACCTTCAATGATCCAAAGGATACAGACTCAGGTCGAATATTATAAACAGAAAACGTCAAAATATTGTATAAATAAGAAACCAAACATTGTATTCGCTTAGTTATTCAGCAAGTTTATTCTCAACATACTGAGTTTTTTAACTTTCGGTATAATATATCATTTAACGACCCTCCGCTCGCCCTCGCGAAATATAATCACTTCGTATAATATTTCGCCGAATCCCCTCGCTCCAAGTCTATAAATGATAATTATTTCATTTTGCACAAACAGTTCATTTACATCATACAATATCATACATAAAAATGTAACTCGACGACTGTGATTGGTTTATTTCAGCAAAAATCAATGCGACATTCGGGCAAAACATAAAAATTTCGGAAAAATTTTGATATTTTCTGAAAAAATTATTGTATCTTTGCGAAAATTACATGATGTTAGGGAAATTTTTTGATATGTCCGGCAAAATTTTCGTATGTTTGTAGAAAAGTATTTGATATGTCCGGAAAATCCCCCGCTCGCCATCATTTTTGTGGAGAAATATTAATCTTAATGTTCAGTTTGCCTCGCCCTATGTAAAGGAATCCAAGATGGTGTCGGATTCCGGATCCTAATCGGCGGATTTCGGATCCTAATCGGTGGATTCCGGATCCTGATCCGCGGATTCCGGATTCCTTCTCAATAATAGTCACTGGATTCCTTGATTAATATTTACTTATTAAAGATTTCAACAACTAACCTGGATAACATCGTCAAAATAAGCTTTTATTTTGTAAGATTAGAGGACCTAAAACTGCTGTAAACATGCATACGATAGTCTTACATGTACATCGGTAACCTTTAAATACTTTTAAAAAACAAAAGAGGGTATTAAAGCTTACATCAACATAATAACAAGAAACACTAAATGTCAGTATTACCAAGCATTATTCGTCATTTGGTAAGTTCTGTTACCTAACGTAGTATAAAACGAGTAGTCCTTCTTCCTAATGAGCTCACTCCTTCAAGTCTTAATGGTCCGGTTTCTTGTGGTTCAGCAGACACTCTCTCCTGCTCCTCCTCTTCTTCGTCATCTTCACTTTCATCATCCCCGTTAGCAAGCCTACTCAACCGGATGTCTTCGTCGGGAGACAAAATAACATTTCCACTGTCTTCAAGTAAGAAATTGTCCACCTTTGCTAAGATGCAGTTCGGAGAGTTTTCCATTGATATGTCACCGCAAGTGTAAACCATTGGATCTGCTGTTTGATTAAGCCACTGAAATTTTACAACGTTGCTCATGTATTTTCCGGTAGCCAATTCGACATAAATATTTTGCATCAGCACGGCAAGCCAGTAGGGGGATAATTCTCTCCTACGATTATGTCTAACTGCAACTACGTCGTCTTTTAAATAGACCACACGCACTCTTATGTTGTTTGTTCTTTGTCCTCCTTGTGCACCATCGACAACAAAACACGCAGTTGTTACATCGGGTACGTCTGATGGATTTGAGATGACTTGCGGACGCATGCTCAGGGTGTACGGCAAAGTACCTGTTAATTCTTTAGTCTTTGAGCGGACATTTGTTTGTCGAACTCCTCTTCCATGTTCTCGGATAAAATCTTTCATCGCTGCTTCTTTTCGTTTATCTTCTTCGGCATCCCCACTTCCCTTTTGTGTGGAAGATTGTTTGCTGGCCCTGCCAGACAAATTTGGTGGTTCTTCTTTAATAATCTTTTCTGGATAAAACGAATATGGACCAGTGAAGTAGCTGAAGTGTTTCTGGTAAATTCGAAGCATGCTATCTTCAACACAGCGAGCTCGTTTGTATGCGTATTCTGCAACTGTCGGCATATCATGGTCGGCTCGCATACCTTTAAAGAAACTCTCTACGCTTAATGTTGTTAGGCTTGTGAAGCGAATCTTGTTGGCCAATTCCTCATGACCAATCTCCATCAGCGTGTTCAGTAGACTGGTGAGGGAGTCTAAGACAATTTCGAAAGATCGTCTCGTTGTTCGTGGTATAACCATGTCTGGACCGTTTGTATTTAACTTCCCCGTCCTAACTCTAGCTTCGTCCTCTAGATTAGCAAAAAAGGCAACGACTTCCTGTACAATTCTCAGGTGGTCGTTGTATGTTATGGGTAACTCCTCTTTTTTTGCCTTTTTATCAAGCCTAAACAGATTTGTGTATTTAGCCATTTCTTGTTGGAGTGGAATCAGCCCGACTGCTGAAGTTACTAGTCGTATTGCTTTGTTTCCTGTATCGCAAACAAAAATCGAGTTTTTGTATGTGCAGATAGCAGATGGCATGTTCCATTTGGTAACTGTTCCATCGCAATGTCCTGGTCTATCTCCTCCGTAGATCTTTAATGGTCGATTGTCACCTTCTACAAACTCAGTTTCTCTGAAGTAATAAATAGAATGTTCCCTTCCAGATGAAACAAATACATTTCCTGCATCAGTAACTGCAATTCCCGTGGGACCAGAAATGCCCGAGACTGTTCTGATAAGATGTCCATCTCCTACATCACAAATGTGAATACCTGACAGAATTTCTCCACTATCCCCAATCAGAAGGCGACGGTTGTCATTCGTTATAGAAAGAGACAAAAGAACACTAGATCTTCCAAAAGTCGCCAATTCTTTAATTAATCCATGCATATCCTCCTCAATTCGTTGTATATCCGAAATCCGGAAGACTTTGTGCAGATTGACGTCAGACACAAAGAGACTAAGTTCAGGTGTCTTTGAAGCACACAGAGCGAATGGCGATTGCAAACCTGGCACATCATTTTCGGAAGTGAGAACTAAGTCTTCGATTCGGACCTGGCGTACCCGTCGCGTTGCACAGTCGTCGTCATTATTGTCACTATGATCTTCATCACTGGGTATCTGTGATGCGTGGCAAAAAAGTGATCTGATGTTCACAACTCTTATTTTACTGTTTCCCTGGTCACAGATGTACAACAAATCATCAGTAGCCACAATACCAGCAGGATTTCGAAATTTAGCTTTCCTTCCATGCCCATTACTGTAGCCAGGTTCGACTCCTCCTGCAATCAAAGATACGTTCACTGGACAGTGCACATCAGCCATTAGTACAGCATGACGCAAGCGATCCGTTACAAAAAGCTTGCTATACTTAGGTAGAAACGCAATACCAACTGGATATTCAAGAGTACCAGAACCATTTCGTTTCCAGTTCTTAAATTCAAGCTCGGGAATCAACGTAGTGGCTAACAAATTCTCTGTGATATTGTCCTGAACTTTCTGTCGATGTATTTCTACTGCGGTTTCTACATCCATGCGATCTTTATTGCGTAATGCTTTCAATGTAACGCTTTTCTTCATTTCGTCACTTTCTCTTCGGAGCAACAATAACAGCCTAACGTTGATAAGAAAACCATTGATATCTATCCAGTGCCAAAATTCTGAAGATCGAACGGATTTGATGTTGTGAGGACAATCAGGGATGGGAACATGGTATGGATACTTGTCTCTACTATTAAGCATTGTGTTCATAAAACTCTTTTGCTTCGGATCACAGTCAGTGGACCAGGCAATAGGTATAAGTCTGGTGCAAACTTGACCATCTCGAAGACAGGCTTCACATGGCCGGAGAAGTGGATGCCAGTTAACGTACCCAGCTTCCGAGCATTTTTCGTCTACCTCTTTATTTGCAAAACAGTTTTCACAGTAAAATACACAATTCGTATCTTCTTTAAGACAATTTAAGCAACGCTCTGTCACATTTATGATTTTATCAAAAAGAGATTGTATATGGACTTCTCCACCCTTATTTCCGCCATAGAATACGCCTATCGGAAAGTCTACTTTATCATCCAAAGACGCTACTCGAACTTCTCTTGCCTGTGTAACAAACTCATGCTCGACAAGATATTTAACAACCTCCTCGTTCGAAGCCGCTGCTAAAGTTTCTACATCTTCATAAGAAATATGTTCAGGATCCACAAGTCCAACAATTGAACGATGCATAGCGGAATATTCCAACGCCGGTTTTATTGCCATTTCGTCTGTCGATACGCAACAAAGATAGCCTTGTACCAGCAAATTTTTAATCGACAAACATTCTTTTTCGATACACATTTTAATACATAGTTCGACATCTTCCTTGATTACACCGCTTGAAAAATGGCCAGGAGGTGCGTTTCTTACAACAGTTCGCGGACTAAGAAAACTTAGATTGTGCGTTTCAACAAATTCGTGCATTGTCTGCTGTGTGTGCCTCCCAATCCCATGTTTACCACGCCCGGTAAGAAGGTATGAAGCTACAGGTTTACTGTTAAATTGTATAGCGCTTTGAAAGCGAGTAAGTGCGAAATAAAGTGTAGGAAGTAAAGGATCATCAACAAGTCCCAATGCACGCGAACAAAACGAATGCACTTGTTCATAAAAAACGTGTGTTTTTGGCAAAGCTCCAGATGATGCCAAGAAAGAAAACATTGCCGCAGCTTCATCCATTTTCTCAAGGTCTAAGTACATTTCAGTTTTGTTCTGTTTTTCCCGTGCTAGTCATAAATCATCCTCGTCGCTTTCGTCAATATCGAGATCGCTGCTTTCGTTATCACTTTCCAGCGATATGTTACCTGCTTTGCAGAGTTCCGTGAAACAAATGTAAAGTGGGTGTTCCATTATTCTAGTCCCTAACGCTGACACACAGTGGTTTTTCATATCGCTAGCAACTGAATCCAGGCACGATGGCTTCTCCACAACACGTTCCAAAATCCGCAGCAGAGAATCTATATCATCTGATACTTCATTATTTTGTTTTACTTTCCCGCATTCTGTCATCATCTTCTCTGCAGCAGCCCTGACTGCCTGTGCAATAGCTGTCATAGCCATAAATAGTGTCGAAACTGACTGCATTCCCGACGTTGTGTACGTTTTACTGCATCTTTTGTAGTGCTTCTTAAAATTGTGAATGTTGTATGGCTTTCCCAGTTTAACAACCATATCACAAGAGCAACATTTTATCGTAGATTTTGAAATTACTTCTGCTCTGTTTTCTTTTGCATTGAACTCTTTCGCGGTTTTCTTTTTCATCTTTTCTAGCTTTTTATCACGACTGCAGGTGGGCGCATCTTCATTTGTAGCTTCTGTCGCTGTTGAGAGCCCAGAGACTGTAAGCTGCCGGTACAGTAGTTTCGCAGTTCCCGAACCTGTGCTGGGTAGCTTTACTTTTTCATTCTTCTGATTCGGATCATCAAGCTTCTCTGTGACATAAATCTTCAAGAAAATGGAATAGTTCTCGAACTGTTTATAGCAGTTGATGAAATAGGCACAAGCTTCACGTAGATCTTCGTCCTTTAGAATTAACATTTGCTCTTCTCCATCATAGTATGAAAGTTCCAAGTGGTTAGTTGATTTGTAGTACTCCTGGAATTTCTTTATAGTTTCTGGTAGATTGATAGACTTGTTTTCTTCTGGGGCAAAGTGCCACAGGCGTTTTTGCGTCAAAGAATAATTTCCTTCCATGTCTGGAGGATTCATAAGGAGTTTTACTCGCAAGGTGGCTGGCACGGAAGCTTGAAATCCTACAAAGCATTACAGTGCATTCATGGAGTTTACAGTAGATAATAATCAATTTAGAATCAATATTAAAGAGTCGTGTTTCTCATAATATTTAGATAAATTTATTATAATACTATTAAACCAAATGTGTAATAAATGTTTGAAATGTTTCGCTTATATATGAATAATTGATTCACTGAATTTGTACTCAACGTGTTACGAAATTGTCGACTTTCACGGAAATTTACCTGGAGTGTTACGTGGTCTAGGACAAGGCGAAGGCGTCAAAGACCTATAATCTATTGGTTTCTTGCTTTCTTGCGAAGCAGGGCATTCTAATAAAAATAAATAAACTTATGCAGAGAAAAAGGATTGGCTGTACCAAAGAGCTCATTGGAATAATGATGAGGTCAAACAAATCTTTTATAGACATGTGCATAAATTAAAGTATTATAACTGCGCCTTAGTGTAACTAATACATGCAGTATTATTGTTCTAGACAGTAAAGCATCACATTTCCATTGTCTTTTAAGCCTTAAAAACAGGCTTTGAAATTATATCTTTTGTAGTGCAATTTGATTTGACAAATTGAATTGACAAATGTTGGATGACTTCCACTTTAGGTTTGATAAAAACCATGCCTGGCAATTTTCAATTTAGAGTTTATGAGCTAGGTTTCACTTTAGCTTGGAAATATTAAATATAAGCACAAAATCAACGATATATATTAAATGGTCTGAACATAATTTATTTGGTAAAAGTGCGTTGCTTAACGAGCTTTGTCTTTTAAAAAATTGCAAATGTGAAGTCAAGGAAAACAAGTATGGCAGTTAGTTATGTTAACCCATTAACAGACAATCTCCTGTTACAAAAAGAGTAAAATTGTCTGCCGTCAAATAGTAAGATACTAAAGTGGGCACACCTGGGTGCATTGCAAGCTAACAAGTTAACTAGAGACACCTGCAGATTTGTTAATCCATTAGCTGAAGTACTCTTCCACTGAGTATATCTAGGCACATTCATTGCGTGCTTCTGAGTTAAATGACCAACCGTATAAGTTTCTTAAACAAATTCTGCATAACTTAAAATAAACTACACAATATGGCACCTTTTTTCTTAACATAAAAATCCAGTTTTGACTGGTTGAGGGATTCAGGCGGCTGGAAAGTTCTAAAAAACAAATTCATACATATATATAACAGGCCTTGTAACAGTTATATACTGTACAGTATATCAGCGTCTGATAAACCAATCATTGTGATAATCTTGCACTGACATAATTATACCGTATCTTACAAATGTATTCTATGATTTCTATCTGCTAACCTTGATCGCTGTGAAACAGGTGATCTTGATCGACTTTTTCGTGAAAACACAGTAGAGGATGTTTTCTTTGTTTCATCATCTCTATTTCTTAAAAGTGGCATGAGAAATAATAATCAAAATGAAATGTACCCACTCTTCAACAAAAATTTGTCTATAATTACTGGTCAAAGATCAAGCCAAAAAACAAATGGGGATATAAGTTTATTGGCAATTATAGCCTACACCAATAATTTCAACCTTATGATCGTACTTATTTCTGTTCGCAAATGGTTTAATTGTACCATAACATAAGTCGATTAAAGATTTTCTCCTTACAATTTATAAATACGTTTGTCCTTATGGGAAGACTCTGGGCTAGTGGATCGTGATCGCGTGAGTCGACACCTAGGCCTGTCTTCGGATCGAGAAGCTCTAAAAACATAATACAAATGTACATACAATATCTTAAAAACTTCAAACCTACATCATGATCGGAACATACAGACATATGCATGGCGGTTAAAATTACCTTCTTAAAGGGGGAGTTCGAGAATGACTCCGAAAATTTCTATGTCTTGATGACTTTTTCTTTCTCTTTCTACATTATATATAATTAAAATAGAAAATGCTCAAAAATGATTTTAAACCAGATTTTCTAGCCTTAATATGAAGTACAGTACTGTCAATGAGAAATATAGTCAAACTTTAAGATTTCAACATTCTATTCAACTCCTATAGTATACATGCAATCTGCAGACATGCATGTTTCGCCCATGAACTTGCTCTCACCAAGGCATGTGGTACAACACGATGACATCAACACATACAGACATGCGCAGAGCGTAATTATATATATGTACTCCTACGTTTATTTATATATATATGTACTCCTACGTTTATTTTGTATCATCAACACTCTGCACGTTGGAGTGGACTATTTAATTATTTATTTGTTATGCCGAATATTGGAGGGGGGGTTGAAATTTTGTTTGGAGGGGTGGACATTTTGTTGGGGGG